CTTCCTGTGGCGCAAAAATGGAACGCGAAAGAGGCAAAGTCCCCGTTCCCCGACCTCTCGTCGTCGGTGGCGTCGAAAGCACCCAATAACACACAATCGAGAAGTCGACTGCTCCTGCTCCCGCCACTCGATATTCAGGCAAAATGGAACGTTGGCGTGGGTGTGTGTTATCGTTCCAGCCGCGTTACCCATTTTATATCCATCTCTGAAATACTGCGCCACGGTCTCACTATGACTCGCTCTGTCGCTCTGACAAAATGGATGATAAAAAAAGCAGCCGAGTCTACGATGTGCACCGCGACGCGTATCCCGGCCTGCGAAATACCGATTCCGAAACCATGATCGCTATCTCGAAACGTTCGACCCCGTAAAGCTCTTTTTCCCTGAACGAGGGCGTCGATCAGTCGACATTGTCGAACGAGCGTAACCTCGAAATCGAACGACTCGCTTTCTGCGTTCTTCGCGATGCAATTGCCGATATAACCCGCGTCTACGAACATGGAGGACACGGGGTTCGATATTTCGATGCCTTTCATTAACTACGACTCGTGTAATAACGCGTCATATCGTTGCTACAAATATTTTAAATGATTATTATGCTCGATTAAAATAATATTAAAACGTTGTGATAGTTTCTCGAGGCCCCGAACGGGCAAAGCAACGCTGTCCGTCGAAAGTGTTTCGATCGAACGATCGCGTCGCGTCGCGTGTCGACGGCCAGTTTGCGGTCAAGATTAATCTCGACGTATCGCAGGAAAAATTCGATTCTCACGCGAAACCACACGCACGAATGAACAGATCCTGGTCGCCGTACCGTTGTACGGGCCGCTACTTCGCGGTGCAACGCGATGAACTTTCGAACTCGATTCGAAACCACCCGTCGGTTCTTCCAAGTTAGGTGTATCACTGCCTGAACTCGTTTGTCAGCAAACAGAATATATCTGAATTCCCCGAGAGACACGGACCGCGTCTTAGTTCTATCCAATACCAGTAGTTCGGCTGTTGTGACACTTACCAAATTCCTGCCGTTCCGTCTCTGCCCCGTAATATAATTTATTGGCCAGAGCCGGTTCATCTTCCGAGTGCACGCGATTAATTAATCTGCGTATTCGCCGAACTTTCTTACTAGCGATACGTTCCGTCTAGAGTGCTTTTACACTTGGGCGATGTAACATAATCAAATCCAATCCTGATAGGTGCCTAAATTTTTGGATGAAAAAAATTTTCTTAAATCATTCTAAAAAAATTATTTTTAGCTAGGGGGCTCAATTATAGTCATTTTTGGTGAATATACATACCCTCGAATTCCTACACACTTTCGAGAAAAAAATTTCTTTCCGAAAATTTCTTGTCTGATCATGAATGAATGTTTCCCTGAAATTTCATGCGTATGTTTAAAACATTATAACTCCTGAACGGATTGGAGGATTTTAATGTTTCGAAAGGCAAACAACGCGTATTTTAGTGAAGAATATGCAGGAATTCTAAGAATATTCGGAAAGTTGTTTCTTAACTCCATAAAAGTGGTTCAATTTTCGAACGTTCATAACTCCTACAATAGTGATGAATGTTTTGCAATCAGGCTTTACCAACATACTTTACAACTACATAGAATATGTGGTAACCGGCCAAGCAAACCGAACAATTAATATGTCGAGACGAACATTGTTTGAAAACACAAAACGCATAGTTTGAAGCAGATCGTACAAAACGGATGTTAATCCGTTTGTTGGCTAAGTCTCTCAACATATCCAGAGAGTACAGGCTGTCTCTCGAAACTTTTTAAGCTTCTAACACTACTCCTGACTTTTCCTTAATTACCTAGATTTTCGCTCTAAAACCGTACGTGTATTCTACCTATTTTCTGCCACCGAAGCAGGCTTTGCTTCGAAATTACCCGAATCTCCAGAGATATGTAACTCACGTTCTAAAATACCAAAGTTTAGGTGCTCGAACACAGATTCGAAATGCATCGTGCTTCGAGCCTCGTGTAATTAACTAATTAACTAATCAAGGTAGCAATCAGCCAAGTTTATCTCGATCGTGGACCATGTAATGCTCTTCCAAAGCTTACTTTCATCGTTAGATCTCAGCAGTATGTTGAAAATATTTGTCGATCGAAACGTTTCGCCTGTTAACACGAGGAGAAATGGAGGTTGAGCATGGTAGAAAGGACGGAATCGTAGTTTGGCAACGTTTAGGGCTCACGCACGATGTTTAGAACGATACAGAACGGTCCACCGCGGGCACTTTTATCCTCAATTTGCTGTGGGAGAAAACGACGCGTCGTCACGAGGCTCTTCTTGCACGGTAGACACGTCAAAAGGCTTGAGGCTCGGACAACAAGTGGTGCCGTAACGAGCTTTTTATGATGAATGTGTCGGCCCCACGTGCGAAAACGTGACTTTCTCGAGCACGTGCTCACCTGGCCGGTTCGCGGCTCCTTGACCCGTGAAACGGCTCCGGGCATTGTTTACTGCCGCGAAGCTGCACAGCTCGCGAAGATAAGAAACGTCGGAAGCGAGATATACGAGTCCTGGGACCGAGATCGAACGCAACGACGGCTCCGTCCTTCCGGAAACCGACGTGACCAGGAATCTACGCGCGGAAGTAGTTGACGCGAACAACGAGAGCTGGGAATTAATCATTTTTGAACAAAGGTGAATCGGTGCATTGATCGAAGCAAAGTAAATTTTAATAGAACAATCGCGGTACGCGGATGAAAAAGTTTCGCAGCCCCGGTTCCAACGAATCGATATTTCGCTCGGTGGATACCTTGTTTAAAGCAGAATCGGGTAAATTTTATTCAGGAATAATGAATACGAATTTTAGATTTATTCATAAAGTAGCTTTTGCTCGTGGCTTCTTTCGCCTAAATGCCGGTTTAAAGAGTCCGTTAATGAATTCTAATTTACAAGCGAATTTGCGAATTAAACATGGACCGAAGACACTTTACGAATGAATCTGAAATTTCTTTTTGCTATTCATGAACGTAATTTGGCCAACTTTGATACGTAACCTTTGAGCTCTTCCAGATTTGCCACTAATCGTTTTGTCCGTGTAAAGGATGTAATCGCGTTTTATTCGACCGAACTTATGGTTTCTGCGTGCAAAGGAACTGTACAAAGTATGTTTGCGGACGATGCCGGGCCATTACCTTCGGAAAATAAATTGTAAACAACTTGGAAACGCATCGGACGAGTAAAGAACTTGGAAATCCTCGTCAGATTAATATCGATACTCGTTAAAATTGTATCCGTTGCAGCACGTCGATACTCCATCAAAGAACCTACCTTTTTCTTCCGGTTGCAAACACTCGATCGACTATGGAGAAATGTTTCCGTATAAAACGCAGCGACAAAGGGTCGCGTAGCGCGGACAAGCAATCCATCTCGCTTCAGATTCAATTATCTTTCCTGTGTATTTCACCGGACGTTTGCAGAACGTTTAATTAAATCCAGTAGAAATATACCGGTGTAAAAATATACGATCCCACTATTTCGGCGACGATTTGCATCCCGATTCTCGGTGAATCCCGGGAGATGAAACGGCGACGATAGCTGTCATCGTTAACCCAACGATATCGACGATTTTTCTGCGCTTTGATACGAAAATTCTTTCTCCCCCGGCCCACAAATAATTTTCTTCCTCCCGCGAGCGTTTAACGAAGACACCTCGAACATCCAAAACTATCTTCTCGCAGACTTATTTTCGATGCAAATTCATTTCTCTCCCGCCATTCCGAAAACATTCCACGAGAAGGAAAAATCTGCATCTTTTCAAGGGGTGATTTCACCGCCTGAATCCGCATTACCAACAAAAACCTGATTTATTTTATTTTGAACGAATCGTGTTACTTGCACACAACGATTCGAGATTAAAAAATTTGTTATTTTAACGCTGAAACAGCGTGTTCGCGAGCCTCGTCAGCTCGTAAATAAATTAAAAATACCGAGATTAGCATTTCGGCTATTTCTGACCACCGTTTGGCGAAGCGAAAAGCGTCGGTCGCCGAGGGATGTTTGAATAATTTGGGTCGAATCGTATTTTTCTCGAAAATGGCACGCTGACCGCAAGGAAATCGCATTTTGGAAAATACCGGAAATATTCCGTGAACCAATGAGATTCCGCGTGACATACGACGGCGACAGGGTGTGCGGGGGTGGCCTCTGTCGGTGCACAATGCCAAAGAGATCGCTGGAAATATCCAATTTTCGCGGCGTCAATTCAATCGTAGCCCACCGCACAATTCGCGGCTGCGATTATTTTTACATTACGTGCCTTCCTCTCGATCTGCACAGGGTGGTCTGCTTGAAACAGAACTGCTTGAATATTTTCGTTATTTTAAATGATAGGAGAAAACGTTGCTCGCAGAAATTGTACGACTCTGAAAAAGACGTAATACCGTTCCCTTTATGCCAGAACTTTAAACGTGCAAATTTTCTCCTTTTGTAGCGAAGGTATAATTTGAATTGTTGAATGTCTAACTTTGTTCTTAATTTTATGCCAAAACCACGAACGTGTACGTGATTATACTCTAAGCTCGATTCGTAAATGCGAGTTATTCACCAGGACATCAAATTTCACCCGATTCGAGCGAAACCACCCTGTGTGTACATCGTTCGACAGAATTTTAATTCGTGCCCAACGATGCGTGGAATAATGCGAACCCTCTCGTTCAACCGTGTTATCGAGACGGATTCATTACGATTTTCACTTTGTATATTACATATTTTACCGTTCGCCGTTTCGTGGATCGTGAATGTTTGCATGTTCTTTTTATGCTAACGCGATCCCTTTGTTGCATTCGCGGTTACGCCAGGCTCGCAAAAACAAAAACGAAGGATGATATTGGGAAATTATTGTTTACCCGATCGTTTCAAATTGCAAGTAATTACAAACGAGCGCGGTAAAAGCTGATAAATACTAATTGTTCCTGTTACGGAATATGAACCATATTCGAACGGGGTTGGTAGTAACATTAAAAGAGATTTAAATACCTTCATGTGGCCTCTGCGGGAAATGGTCCTAAGGAGTCACCTGCAACACAGAAAACAAGATCAACGGTGACTCGGCAATCAACATGGATACAATAAATGATTACGTGAAATTTGTATTTTCTTTTCCATTCGTCTCCTCCATAGTAACGAAGCATTAGCTGGTTCTTGTCGGAGAATTCGAACCGCCAAAACGAAGTCGCGTCGTTTCGAGAGTTAATTCTGACGGCGTCTGGAAAACGCTTAGCTGCACAATCGACGGCGGCCGCAGATATTTAGCGGGAAAAACGAGGAGAAGCACAATGTTCCCAAGGTCTCGATACAGCACGGAGGAAGTCGTTAAGTAACGCCGCGGCGTCGCGGCGCGAGGCTTTAAGGTTTGTCATGTAAATCGTAATCCCACCATCGCGGCTTGAAAGACGGGGTGACGGAACCGCTCCTCGGGCGTCCCTCCCCGGCCCCCCCCCCTCCCGTACCACCCCACGCGGCCATTATCATCGAAAGCGGATTCAAATACTTCGGCAACTTTCAGCGAAGAATTTATTATAATCGCATTCAAGACCGTCTTATGGCAACGACTGCAAAGTAGCTATTCCAGGATGGTGGCCCGGTAGGATGGGAGCCAGAAGCTGATTGAAACTCTGAAACATTTGCTCCGTTGGGTAACTTAGCAGCGAATCGTCGCAGATAAGTCGGTTTCCCCCCAGTTAACGGTTTCCTTAATTAACCGTCTACCGTCTCGTGGTCCACGTTTCGCACGACGAGACGACGACGGATATCGAGAACTTTTCCCCTCCGCGAGCCGCGCCCTGCGCCTCCTCGTCGCTCTATTAATTCGCCATTATCGCGAAAGTATAGCAACAATCCCGAGCCCTCGGCCGCCTGGCCGAGTTAATAGCTTCTCGACCGTTCTTCGCCACCGCTTAATTGCCTGGGTCCGGATAGCACGTGAATTCTCCGCGATTCGTTCGACCCAAGATAAATACCAGGTTATGTAATTAAGATCGAAACGGAGAGCGTGTTGTTTCAACTCGACACGGTCGGCTGCAACCATCCGCATTCTAAAATACGCCCTTCACGAGATGGAGATCTCGATGGTACGCGGAAATCTATTCGTCTCGATTTTCCAGGGTCCATACGGTTAATCCATATCGTACCTACTCCACATATTTCAATTTAGAGATTCGAGTACGCTGGATTACCTTTTGGAAGTAATGGTTTCAAAATATAAAATGTGGTGGTAATATCCGGTGATGTTCTACTTGAAACAAGATATTACATCAACCCACCGCTGTGAATGCAAGCCAATGCTTCCCACGTTGACGTTTACCATTGACAATACTTGCTTATCTTCTTTAGAATTGTTTCGTACAATCGTGACGTTAAAAAATACCTCCATCGTTACTGTTCGCAAAGAAAGAACTGAGTTTGCGCCCTTATCCGGGAGGAAATGTTCGAAAATTATACGTTTCATAGTTATAAATGATCTTGCACTTTAAAGCGATGGTTGCAATATAACGTTTCTTTCTATTAATGCTACAGTTCAATTCATGGAACGATCCCAGTCGGTTTCTCATGTAACGCGAGCACGAGATCCGTGTAACTTCCACCGACCCGAGCGTGCAATACTTCTGCCAAAAGCAGGATGTTGGTCGTTTCGAATATGAGATCGCACAGCTGTGGAAAAGCCGCATTTTACACGCGGTATATCAATCTACCGCCGCGATTATTAGCGGTGCTATTATGCGGTGAATCAGGTTACGCGATACAGAGCACGTTACGTTTCGCGTAATGTTTGGCTTGTATAATGCGAACGTTGGACGAACAAACAAATGGGACGGATAATAAAAGCGAATTAAACCCACATCGCGTCATCAGGACTTCTTGCTTAATTAGCGAATCGTGCAGAGTGACTCGTATAAACCGCTCCAATATTTTCCACCGTAATCGCGCAACTGTGTACAGTCGCGTTCTCTAAAATAGTTAAACGTAACGATAAACGACGACATATTAATAAAATAGATATTCGAGTACCAACGGTTGGCAAAAAAACAAATTTATGTTAACAAATGGATATTTTTTGGGCGATCAACCGAGCTGCGAATGATTAAACAGTCGAAGGACCTCATATCCATTAACGCAGCACGTTTGAACAATCCATTAACGCTTTAGATTTGGAGAGAAGAGAAAGATTCGCGAGGGACTTTGACCCACCGTGTCCCCCGTGCGTGGAGGAAGTCATTAACTGATGAAACGAAATATACCTTACATTTTTCTTTTTTCGTAACGCGATATCAGAAAGGTGAATATTCAAAGCGCCCGTCACGTCGCCCCGTTCCCGTGATTTTGATTAATTGCTCCGCCCTGCAACCGGCGATTTCTTTCTTCCAGTATCAAGGAATACTCTAGGACGGTGAACGATGTTTGCCAATACGCGTTCAGCTCCCGAGGAAACGCGCAAAAAGCCAAGATCCCTGGAAAATGTCGGAAAGGAACGGAGTCTTTGGCAAGAAACGACGGAGCAAAGCAATGCAAATGCCGACAAGGTTAATTAGCATCGAGTAAAAACTTACGAAGCACGGGAAGAACGTTAAGAGTACAATGCTGTTCACGTTTATGCTTAATTAACTAACGAACAAAAACTTTTTCGCCCGACGGTACGAACCGTAGTCAAAGTAAATTAATAAAGAACGCTTTTTTTGTTAAATAAAGAGAGATCGCTTTTTATGGAATCGTATCGAACTTGCTGGTAAGGAACCATCGAGTCGATGTTGTTCCATATGGGATTCGTCAGCTTCCGCTTACGCTTCGAACGCATTCCGGTGAAATCAGTTGCTTTACGATAAAGGTTACGAGAAATCACTTTCATCGTTACTATAAATTCCCGTACGCGTCGTGCTTTTATCAAGAATACGAACAGGAATGATTCATAGAGTGCTGCGAGATAATGTTTAGAGGATACTCAACCGTACACGAGATATCGAGCACTGTTCGCGAATGGTCGAATAAAATTAGAATTCTCGGTAGTACCACCGCGTCATAAATTTCGCTATAACTCGGAGACAAGATGAAACCAGACGTTTATGCGAACTGGATGTTAAGTTTAACCTTTGGACAATTGCGTGGTCGTCTGTCAACGACTTCGAGCCTCGGAGATTGTTAATCTCTTTAACCCCGTGGAGTGGTTACACGTTGTTCAGGTTGCCTTAAATTAACCGAGCTTCGAAATGGCCCGATAAAAGAGAGAAATCGTCGAACGGTTCGACTTTGGACGTGGCACAAAGGCTCCACTCGACGGGAGGACTCAAAGGAGCAAGATGCTTCGCGGATAAGCTTAAAGGGTCGCGAAAGGAAACAGCAAGTGACGGCGCGTAATAAGGGAAAAATAGAGAGCGAGGAAAGTAGTGGATCGGAACGGTGGCGCATAATTTAAAGGCACTCGTTATGGGGGATGGCGGTCGGTGACGTGCGCCGGGTTGAATGGCGTCGCGGAGGAACCACGCGGTCACGAAGCGTTCTTCAAAGACGCGGGATTACAGCGCGGAAACTTCCGACGGGCGATAACAATCGACGAATTCGGATCCATAATCCGCGTGCCTCGTGCCCGTCCAAACAGTTTAACTTCAACGGAACTTCGGCCTCGAAACGCGCGTGATAAACGATCCAAGTTTCTCCTTTCATCGACTGCCATCGGGTGGCCGTTCGACGAATACCCGGGATTCCGGCGCGTCGTTGACGCTTCGCCTCCCACGGGCGCCATTGTCGCCCGTCGTTCCTATCTTCCAACTCTTTGCTAAATTATTACGTCGCGAACCGAGACCATCGATCCGGACACCAGCCTCGCTTTCCGACCGATTGATCTTGTCGATGTTTCTTCCTTTCTTCGCGTATTTATTTTTCTAGCGATTCTTTGCGCTTTACCATTTGCTGAGCATGCGTGGATTCGCCCCATCGAGTATCGCGAAAGTTTCCGGGTGTCGGGGGAAGTCGATGAACGTCTGAAGATTTCCCCGAAACGAGATTCTTAAAAATCCTGGTGTGCCGGTTGTTTAAGGGCGCGCGTCTAAGCCTCGCAGTCGAGAAGTTAATCGATACTTCAAGAAAGATTCGAGGGGTTTGAAAAGCTGACTTACCTTTCGCTCGGCTGGTAATAAAGCGGCTTACTCACGTCTTGCCGAGCACATCCGTGGGCTCAATCGCACCGCGAAATTGGCAAACTTGCTCGTTCCGATTTTAATGTACTTTTCTATTCGACGTCCCCTAAATCACGACAATTCGCGGCGAAGTTTAAGGGCCCCTTAACCCTCGAATCGTTCGGTAATATCGTTTGGAAATATCGCGCCGCACTTTTCCCACTGGCAATTGCATCTTTCACTGACTGCGGAACTTTGATCCATCGCGCGTCAAAGCGAGTAACTCGATTGTTATGTGAAAGTAAAGATCGACTGGCGGTTCTTCCAGAGATGGATCGAAGGGGTCGTTTCCGACAGGCTGAATATTTTAGGAGTTTTGTCTGGAAGGTCAACTAGAAAATGACCATCGTGGTATGCAGGGTCTGAAGAAGCCTCGAAGGAGGGTTGGCTCGTTACGCACCCCTCGTAAATCTAACCTAACCGGTCGCCATATGCCGGTAACTTAGACTTTATAGACTAGGTCGTTCAACTTATTCGTTTATAAAAATTCCGGTTAGTCGTCGACTCTATAGGAGCGTCCCTAAGTAGATTGCTATCTTGTACCCGATTTAAAACAGCCTTACGCTCGTGTAGCATCTCGAGATGCATCTTTGTTCGCATAGAGAATCATACACGTATTTTTGAAAATGGAAACCAGAACGTAGAACCCCCGAAAAGTGTACTTCAATCAAAACTTTCAATAATAAGAGACCACAAAAACGTACAGGGAACACCTTTTCCATTTTCTAGCAACGGAGTCGTATAAAGCAGTGTGGTTCGCCATCCAGTGGCTGGTCTGGCTGCAGAAAAAGGTCGGCTGGATAAATGTATAGATATCTGCATGAAGCATCCGGTCGGTGGGTTCCTCCCA